AAAGCATAGGAATCAAATAACTCCTTTGTTTCCAAGTAGCTCGCAAGAAACCGGTGACAAAACAAAAAGAAGTTGACCCATTAATTCATATGAGTAAGTAAAATGATAAAATGAAACACACTGATGGTCATAATCAATTATTATACGAAGACAAAATACGTCAAAGAAAGATTCAGGTGAATTTTTAAATTCTGTATTCCCCTCTTACTATAGGGTTTTGGAGGAGGCCCAGTAACCAAAAGAAACTATTGGAATGAAACGGAGAACAAAACTATGAAGTTACATAGAACTTACCGAGAATTTCAGTTTGAATAGAAAGACGTGGCATTGAAGAAAGAACGACCAGCACATCGCGGTACTGCTCATCAGATAAAGACTTGAGTAAACATCTTCTTTTTTCAGCGTCCAGTGCAGCAAGGTCTCCACATGAATATATACGCCCCTATAGCGTTACAACCAGACAAAATTTGTAAGATTTAAGTAGCTGTGAAAACGTTTTACAAGAAACGACTGATAACGCAACATAACAGACCTTTCTGAGATAGGGAAGATTATGGTCAGTAATATGAGGCAGCTGAAGCAAAGGACTGTTCTTGGGCCACAAGGCTTGCACAAACATGGGTTGCAGACGTAGGAGATTATCTAGAGTTTCTATGGGAACTTTGATCTAAAGAAAGATGTAGAGTTGATGGAGAAGGCAATTTTAAACCAGAAGGTACCTGCGTGTAGAAAGTAAGTTGTTGTGACATGGAAATCATTTCCTCAGTGAGACGCAAGACTCGAGCAAGAATATAGCTTAATAAAAATTATTTTAGTGTTGAAAAGAACATCATCTCCTGATTTCAAAGTAGAGCAATTGCAATTAACACAGGTATGAACACATTATAGCGACTTTGAAGGGTATAAAGTCGGGGTTACTCCTCCTTGCGTCTTACTGCTTTATAAATTTTGTTTGGTCGAACACTGACGAAAATACAAGTCCGTTGCCTCGCTCACTTTGGAAATTTTTGGCTGTCCTCCCTACATTCTCGCCCACCCCGTGAATTTCTACATGTGTCCTCTTCTGATAAATTGGAAGTGAATGCTATCCTATTCAAAAAGCTCGGCAATAAATTTATTTTAAGATAGAACTACTTTCTAAATCTAGTTAACGTCTATCCAGTGATTGAATATAGTCTTCGATACAACAAGTTGAAATCAGAAATGAAGACCAAAGAAACTGAAGATCGTACCGCTGGTCATACTCAAGACCTTCGTTGTCCAGTGGTATTCGTGAAAGATATGAGTGAATTAGAATACGAGCTTTGAGTGAATAAGGAAGAGACAGTGGTCTTTCTTTCTTGTTTTCACCAAGATTTGGAAGGGATTTCATGCGCCTAAAAGAATAAAAGACTCAAACCCCTAAAATTGAAGAATTTAGGAGCTAATGCAGTGTACCGAGTAAGCTCTATGTCATCTGTCTCTCTCTCGATGATGTCTTTGTTATACTGTTTCCAAAACTCAAATGATCCTCCCAATAACATCAACATTCCTTTGAAAATTGGCAGGGTAAGCAGAAAATCAAATGTACATTTGATTGCTCCATCAAACTACGAAAGGTACGAGATACACTCACTGTTTATCTCCATCTTCGGTGTCTTATGTAAGAAGTAATAAAACAGCTGAGTAGTATCCAAGAGGACTTTATCCACATTGTATTTGATGGAATTATACCACCACACACCCTTCAAGCAGACTATAGACTCAAATGCAACATCAGCTAGGAAAAAAAACCTTACCACAACGACCGGTAAGATAACCATAAAAAGAAGACCGTAAAAAGCAAGTACCCATAGACCATACTCCTTACTTACAAGCCATTTTGGCAAAGCGATTCCAAATGTCGTAGCTGAAGATATGCCAAAAAGAGCAAATTCAACAAAAATTATGATTTTACGTTAAACAAGTAACA